TGCATGATGCTTCTTATTTTTAGTTTGCCCCAATACTGCCCCCCACAGCATAGTCACTAACATCACACATGATTTCAAAAAGGTAGCGACCAATCAGGGGGTTGAATGATTGGTGCAGAGATGAGTGCTTTCTTAAGAATGTTAAAAGATTTCAAACAAGCATCATCAAATTCAAAGGAAACATCCTTAGCCAAAAGATTTGTTAGTGGTCTAGCATTGTGTGAAAAATCTTTTATAAAGCGGCGGTAAAAACCAGTATGACCAAGAAAATTATGGATCCCTTTGATATTTACGGGAGGAGGTAACTGTTCAATTACTTCAGTTTTAGCTCTATCTACCTCTATTCCTCGTTCGGACACCAAGTGTCCAAGCACTATGCCTTCTCTAATCGTGAAATGACATTTTTTCTAATTAAGGACTAAGTGCTTTTCTTCACATATTTGCAAAACTTTGTCTAAATTTTCAAGACAATCATCAAAAGTTTTTCCATAAACAGAAAAGCCATCCATGAAAACTTCCATGATTTCTTCAATCATATCAGAAAATATAGACATCACACATCTTTGAAAAGAAGCTAGAGCATTATATAATCCAAAAGATGTTCTATGATAAGCATAAGTTCCATATGGACATGTAAAGGTGGTTTTACTTTGGTCATCTGGATGAATTGGTATCTGGTGATAACCTGAATACCCATCAAGGAAACAGAAAAAAGAGTGGATTGCTAGTCGCTCTAACATTTCATCAATGAAGGGCAACGAAAAGTGATCCTTCTTTGTTGCCTTGTCAAGTTTTCGGTAATCTATACACATCCGCTATCTAGTGACGGTTCTTTAGGGGATTAATTCATTCTTTTCATTTTAAACAACAGTCATGCCTCCCTTTTTAGGCACAACTTGAACAGGGCTTACTCACTACTATGTGGCATAGGATAGATGATCTCGGCGTGTAAGAGTTTCAAAACCTCTTTCTTAACAACCTCTCTCATCGCATTATTAAGCCTACGCTGGAGCTCCCTAGAAGGTATGCAATCAGAATCTGTAGGGATGCGATGGGTGCAAAGAGCTGGGCTAATTACCTTAAGGTCTTGGAGTGAGTAGCCAAAAGTAGAACGATGCTTTTCTAAGACAGTTAGCAAGCGGAGGGATTCTTCCTGAGAAAGTTTATCACTTGTGATCACAGGAGAATCCCGATCATTATTGAGAAAAGCATATCTAAGACCAGAAGGCAGGGGTTTAAGTTCAATGGAGGGCTTAGGTGGTTCCAGCAATTCATCTAAGGGTTCAGGGTCTATAGGATTTTTGTCTTCTTCTTCGATGAAGAACTGGGCATCATCTTTATGGTTGGGTTCAATTAAGTCATCAAGAAATGCAGCCTTAACCTCTTCCATTGGGTCTTCCTCGGAAATTAGCTCAGTCTCAGCATTTAGAGAATGAGTAATGGGCATAGAAAGCTTGAAGTTTTTCTCAAGTCTTATATTCAACTTTCCTGTTTGCCCTTCTTCGATAAGTCTATCAATTGGTTGTCCTATCAACAGGTTGAACTCCATAATATCAAAGATATAGAAGCTCAGATGAACCTTAGTTCCTTTTACCTAGATAGGAAGTACATAAAGTATTCCCAAACTTGGGAGAATGTGTCCTAAAAATCCTTTCAATAACTTTGTTGTTGGGGTTAATGGCATGTGTTTGAATAAATCATGAGCAAAACATGCAGACATAATGTTAACACCCACAACTGGATTGTCAAGAGCATCGAAGGGAGCTTTATTGATTTGGCAATGAATGGAAATAGAAGGTGAATCTAAAGGAATCACGTTAGAGGAAAGCTCTGATTCTTCTAACCATTCATTGCTTATAATAGATACTAGATCTTTCGTATACTTTTTAAGGAAAGCTTCTTCAGAAGGGTCTAAAGGTTCTTCATGAAATGATTTCCTAGACTTCTAGTGTCTCCTCATAGTATGGTAATTCGAGGTATTTCTATATTCATCAAAAACTTTATCCTCGAATTCAAGCATAAAATCCAAAATTGGAGTTTCCTCCTTTTCCGGTGGTTCGGGATCTAAGATAGCTGAAGTTGGTGATGGGTTTTCTATGGATTCAGATTCAGCTATTTGGGATTTTTCCTCTAATGGCCTCTCTTCTACTTCTTCAAGGGCGTCCTCTAAGATTTTAGTAAGAAGGCTTCTCCCCATATTGGCGGAGACATGAAAGATCGAGCCTCCTGAGGTCGTATTAAGATGCTTCGAGGTTTTCATATTAAGACCCATATAAAAGTGTTGAAGAAGAATATGGTCTTGAATGGCAATGTTAGGGCCAGTTTTAATGAGAGCATTAAAGCGTTCCCATGCCATGCCTAGATATTCTTTTTTCTTTTGTTTAAAAGATAGAACCTCTAAACGAAGTCTGACTACCCTGGAGATGGAAAAGAATTGCAAGCAAAAGCTAGAGCATAGGGCTTCCCAATCTCCTTGTCTACACTCAATGGTGAGATTGTACCAACCTTTAGCATTTCCCGTCAAAGTAAAGGGAAAGAGCTTCTATCATAAGGTTTTATTTGACATGCCCGCAATATGTAGGCATGCATATGTCTGCTCCAACCCATTTAAGTGAGAATAGGGGTTTTCATCACCTTCGCCTGAAAAGGGTTGATCATGAACCATGTTGAATAACCGTGGGCATAGCTCATAGCCAGGTGTTATGATATGCTTTGAAAATTCTTATGGTTGTAGGCTTGTGCCCGTGGGTGCACCATATTGGTAGATAGGGGTGGATTCTAGATCCATGATAAAAAGGAAAGAAAAGATAAAAGGATAAAAGTATAATACAAGGTTAAGCTAGACTCGAAGTTAACTCAGCAACCATTCCCCGGCAACGGTGCTAGAAATGCTTGTTGGTATAAATTAATGCACACAGAATAATCCGCAAAGCACAAATATTATACTGTTGTAGCACTTCACCGAGCGTAATCCAGTTTTCTATCGAACCCAAAGGAACGGAGGTGAGAGTAACTAATTCTAACTTAACCCAACTTCACAATCAAGGCTAGATAATAGGACCGTAGAGGAGACTGCTAAGATCTTCTAGTTCTAACTTACGTAAGCTTTGTCTTCTATTATTCAATTCTGGAGATATTACTAGAGAAAACATAAGCAGAGTATGTTTCCTATAGTAACAAAGTTCTGCTAAGCCTACTAACGGGAGGTGGACTACAGAGGATTCAACGAGGCTATAAGAGTCACCCTCGTGAGCTACCACCGATCCAAAAAATAGGGTACATCCATGAGTAACCAACTCTAAGCACCACGCTTACACTACGAATACTATTTTAACCAAGGAGCTACAATGATTAAAGTACTCAAAAGAGTCGCAAACCTGAAGAATAATATGAACAAAATGCTTACTTAAATTAGAAATCGATTACCAGAGAAACCTTAGAAGCAAGCTCAAGAAAAACTTAATTCTGTCAGGGCACAAGCCATAGAGAGAGCACCGATAGGCCGGGACTCCTCCAAAACCCTTTCCTCTCACTCTATCTCTCTATCTCTAATACAAGACTAGATCCTATCGAGGACTAATCTTCTCATGATTGATAGCCTTGATCCTGGTGGACACATGAATTAGGGTTTCTGGCTTCTCAGCTCTCAGGATAAAAAATAAGGCATCTGCCGTAGGGGTGTAGGCAGATATATATAGCCCGAAGGGTCAATCCTCAGCCCTTGAATCAAACCGACTTGAAATAACGGCTGAGATGCATCCTAGGAGATGGTGGAAAATCGACATAACAAAGATGATGCCATGTGGGGCCCACAGGGGCCGGACGGTCTCTAGGTGGTGCCGGCCGGCCCCACATGTCAGTGGGTTAAGCCCCCGCTTCGGTGGAGAGTCTCTTGGAGTCTTGTGAAACCTTTCCCCGTTAATCCAGCGGTGGAATTCCGTGATTTTTTTTGACGAAAATGTCCTCCTTGACAGATTTATGATAAAATCCTGCTAAATACATAAATTCATCAAAACTCGTGAAATTTATTAGTTTAAATTTCTAAATTTACGTTGATGATCTACATCTAACTCCGCCCACCACAGAGGAGCGTGTGGTGCCAGTGAGGCCCAAGGCTTGCGGCTGAGGACTGCCCCTTTTTGCGGCCGCTGCGAGGGGGCCGAAGTGCGAGAGCGAGCGCATGGCCGCCAGACGCGCAGGGCAGCAGCCGTTGTCGCTATCTCGGAGAGGGACGCCTCTGGTGGCGGCGGCGCTCCCCACTAGAGAATGGAGCAGAGCAGAGGAGAAGAAATGGATAAGATTCACGGACTCGAGCTAGGGAGATAGGAGGCGAGGAAGAGCTGCTCGCGTCTCATGCGCCGCCCGCGTGGGGATCTTGAGGCTGGAGCCGTCCTCGGTAGGGTGCAGCTGGAAGCGCCGTTGGCCTTCAGGACTGGATCTGAGTGTGACGGAGATGGAGATGAGGGCAGCGAGTTCACGAGGCAGTAAAGAAAGGCTTTTTTTATTTTGTGGGTCCCACCACATAACCCAACAACACTCCAAAGGAAGCCAAAAAAAAATGGATAAAATGTCATATCCTCATCCCTAACCTACACAATCATAACCCATCTCATTTCCTCAACCCAAATCCAGCAGCTATCCAATCGCCCCCTGGGAAGAATTGGTTGCGTTGAGCAAGACCAGGAGAAACGTGGATGTGATGCATACTATTATCCGGCTAACTACGGTCAGCTGTCGCATCCAAAGGCGCGTAGTAGCAAGATCCCTGCACCCTGACTCAAGTAACCCATGGTCTCTTCGTCAAGCTCCAAAAGATGCATACGGTTAGTCTATTTACGTTGATCAATTATGAATTTTGGTAGGGTGCTCATGGCATTAGGCTACTAGATCATTGTTCCTGATATACATACATACAGGCTTGCTGCAAAGTACAGCAGAAACTCCACAAAACGGTCGTAATTTACAAAATCTCAAGACACAGGAAAGCAGCAACCGAAAGCTTAAAACGACAGGTTGTCCGCGCAGAACATGCTGTCGAGTGACTCATACGCGCCGGCGTCGAAGAAGGAGAACTGCAGGTCGCCGAAGAGGAGCGCGTCCAACTCGGAGCCCGGGGCCCGGGGCGACGCCTCGTCTTCGGTGCTCTCCGGTTCGGTCTTCGGGGCCTCGTCGTAAGCCGCCGACACACCCTGCCACGAGAAGTCCGGGAGTGTGCTAGAGCCGAAGCTCCTCTCGGCGGCCTCCTGCTTCAAGACGGCGGCCGCCGCCGCCGCCGCCGCGCGCTGCTCTTGTTCCTCTTGCTCGACGAGGTCGATGACGGCGTCGGCGGCGCGGGCGCGCTTGCGGCTGGCTGGGGCCCCGGCGGCGGAGGGGAAGTTGAGCTTTGCCCTGGGCCCGCGGATGTGGCGCGCGGCGCGGTCGTAGGCGAGCGCGGCGGCCTCGGCGGTAGGGAAGGTGCCGAGCCAGACGCGGACGCCCTTGACGGGGTCGCGGATCTCGGCGGCCCACTTGCCCCACGGGCGGCAACGGATGCCCCTGTAATACCGCGCGGGGTTCCGGTGCCGGCTCAGCGCGGTCTGCTGCTGCACCTGGTGCGCCATGGGCTTGGTGGCGCGGAAGACGAGGGCGGGGGCGGGATTGGTCTCCGGCTCCACCATCTCCTCGTCCTCCTCATGGAACTCCCGGAAAACGGCCTCGAAGTCGTCGGCCTTGCGCTGCTTCTCCTTGCGGCGCGCCGGCGTGCTCGGTTTGACGTCGACGAGGATCGCACCACCGCACATCTTTGCTCTGTTCCTCTCGCCTTGCTGCTGCTGCTGCTGCTGGTTGGCTGGCTGGTCGGCCCCGGAAGCTTTTCGGTTTGCTTGGGAATGGAAGTCTCTGGACGACGAGGTGTTCTTAAATACTCCGTAGGTGGAGGAGGAGAACGCGCCAGGGTTGCTGGGCTAGGAAAAGCGGCCGTGACAAGTGGAGTGGGTGCGGTGGTGATGGCTGTGGCGTGGGGGCTCCGAATTCGCGCGGCGGGAGAGACGGAGTGAGGGGATAAGAGCAGCTATCTTCCTATCGAACCATGAGCTGAGCTGGATTACCGAACCGAGCACACTACATACATTGAACCGTGGGATGTCAGAGCAAGAGTGACTCCTACTTTCAGTTTGCACCATGGACCCATTCACTGATGCTTGTACTTGAAGGACCCAACCATCTTCAAAATCGATTTTTAACTACATGTTCCATTACCGAACCGAGCACACTACGTACATTGAACCATGGGATGTCTGAGTAAGAGTGACTCCTATTTTCAGTTCGCACAATAAAAAAACGAAGCACAGCGCCACGGGGGGCTGCCGCGTACTAGATGCTTGCCACTTGCCAGGTCGCGCGCCACGGGTGACGAAAACCGAAAACTTCCTCCCACCCCACAGTTTGGTTACCTGCTCCGCCCCATATGAATCACGTACCATTGCTGAACACATTAGCACTAACAGAGAATCGTCCTGATGCGCAGGCGTCCCAAATTGGTGCGCAGCATCTTGTGCTGTTTTTGTCAATTGGTGCCACTTGATCCACTTGCTCCTTCGATTTCCCTCTCAAAAAGATGCACCTTCAATTCCAGATGAGCCCCGTTTCAGAGATCTGGCCAATGCTAGGCATGAATACTGTACGTACTGTTGCCGAATGCTCTAGAATCGTCCTGCTGCGCACGCTCCCGCAGTTGGAGCGGAGGAACATCTTGTACTTATCGGTTAGTGCCACTTGTTCCACTTGTTTCGTAACTATCTGTACGAGTGTCTCTTTAGCTGTCGGTTCAGCCCTCCTCGTCACCCTTGTTAAGACGTTTGGATACCGCATAGATTGAAGGTGACTTCTAAAAGCTAGACTGTTACTACTTACAAGCTAGATTATAAAGCTAATAAGTTGGAGCTGGCTTGGACTGATAGATTGCATAAGCTAAGATAGACAAGTTTTCAGGTTAAAATTACCAAAATGTCCTCACTCTTTTATTTTTTATGCTGCTACTATGGAAGAAAGAGGGGCATAATGGGTCTTTTGATGTCTAGAAGCTGCAAGAAGTTGGGTTCCCTGAGCTTACCAGATTACGGAATCTGGGGTCCGTAGATTCCAGAAGTTAGCTAGATGCTACGGCTCTTCGGAGCCCTATATTCTATGAGCTAGATTCTAGAATCTCATAAAATCCAAACAGGCCCTAAGACCAGACCCTAAGCGTGCCCACAATCCAGAGTAACTCGTGACCACCACGTTGTGCCCCACTTGGCCATCAACAATAAAGTTTGGGAAGGACGACGGCAACCTAACGTCTAGCTAAGAAATAATGTATCGCTTGAATCCACTAGATTTTGAGAATCCAAATAAAAATAATCATAGTAGCTTTATTCGATTATAAAATTCAAAAAATTTACACCCTCCGACCCAAATGAACTGTCGCTTTGCTTTTCATGCCATAAGTTCGACTAGATTTGTAGAAAACATATGCAATATTTGTATCTCCAAATAAATTTATTATGAAAAAGGATTCAACAATCTATCTAATGATATTAATTGTGTACCATAAATATTAATATTTTTTTATATAAAATTAATCAAAGTTATTTCTCGGTAAGCGAGAACGACGATTATTTTTGGGACTGAGGGAGTATGAGTTAAAATCACTTTAGAATCTAGACCTTTTAGGTGACATACTAGGATTATGGGATTTTTTATTTCGGATTCTCAGAATCGCATGGGATTCAAATGGGTCCGCAATTTTAGACGCATTTTTTGTTCATATATCTCAAGCTTGATAAAATATATAGATAAATATATTAATATTTATGACACCAAGTAAAATATAGTATGAAAGTATAATTAAGTACTTATTTAATATTACTAGTACGAAATTGTATAACTCTCACAGTTATGCTAATTTCAAATAATCAAACATAAGCATCAAATGGCGCTTCTCTGCACCAGCACAGTTGTGGCCCAGAGCTGAGACATCTCCATCGCTTTAGCCCCCACCGCCACCTCTCAGCCTGCTGCCATTCCATGGTGCCAAAGTGCCGAGAGTCTAGGTCTAGTGTCAGTCTGCCGCAAGCCCATGCCTGCTGCCAGCATGCAGCACCATAGTGTTGACTATGTTTATGAAGCATCGCTTGAAGATGGAGCTATATGATGCACTGGAAAATTCTCTCTCTAAAATAAAAGTTATGTGTAGATGAATCAAGGGGATAAGAGTACTGGGATTTTATAAAACATACATGCTAGAACCGGAAGGCATCCACTTATTTCACATTTTCCTTGGAAACTGCCAATTGGAAACAACTGCCCTGTTCGCTTGAACTTATAAACACTACTTTTCAACCATAGAACAGTATTTTTCTCTCACAACAAATCGGCATCAGCCGAAAACTTAGCTAGCCGAACAGGGCCTAATAAAGTCCATAATTAAAGGAGCTTTGCAAAAATAAACATATGTAGAAGAAACTAACATTTTTTTATGTTTGTCAGCTAGTTACCACCTGTAATCAACCAAAACAAACAATTTATCAAGCAAGTAAATATTACAGCCTAGGACTGAATCACCAGCAAGTTCAAGAGTTGGATGCATAGTGGTTACTATTTTGGAAAGATTGTAGGAACTATTACAGTCGATCTGGGTCTGAATCAAAAACTTTCCATGTGCTGCAATGTCAGCGAGCCTGAATCAAAGTACAAAAGACTGAAAACTAAATCGAAGGCTCGTTTCTTACTACGGATGTGAGTAGTGGACTAAACATGGGCAGGAACTATTACATAACTTGAGCTTGTACAATAGGTCTCACATTTGATTTTGACTTTTTGAGTGGTTGACCAGCCACATAAGGTACATGAACTTGTTTGAGCTCAGGTAGGCTAAACTCGTGTGCATGATAGACCTCACATCCTTGGTGGCCTTCCTCCAGGAGTCATTGAAATAGGCAGGCACGGTGACCACAACCAGAACGTTCTTGATCGGGGAGCCGAGGAAGGCCTCAACAATATCCTTCACCTTGGCATATAGATTGCTTCTCCTTGCCCTTGTAGTTGACCAAGAACATCGGCTTTTCCTCAGGGCCAGCCACGACCTTGAACAACTATAGCTTCATATCACTCTACACGAACGGTTCAGAGAACCTCCAGCCCATCAACGGCCTTGCGCCAGCATCAAGGTGACCAACATTAGTCAATAGGGGCATCAAATGAGAGAGAAAAAACAACATATGGTAATCAGTTAATTCCTAGCATTTAATTTTGAGAACTCAATGACAGGTACATTTTCGAAACTGCAGTCCAGACTTACAAGTTACAACCCGAACAAAGGTGACAATGACAATTTCTAAAGGACACCATTCTAATTAAAAATATAGTTAAAAAATGTAATTGCACAATGAGTAACCAATCTAAGCAGATCTGGAGGAGCTACACCAGAGGCAACAATCATAACTACTGATTGCAAATCTGATCGAAAAAGCTTAGTGGAGTTACTATTAATTAAGTTCCAAAATAGAATTACACGAAGATGATAGCATCTAATTCTGCAGGACCAATTTCACATATATGTTTGCCTCCTCCTAATGGTTAATCCTACTCATTTAGAGAACATATATAAACAAAGCATCTACTGATCACACTGAACATAAACAAAACAGAAATTGCCCACACTAAAATAAATTCCAGTATATCTACAAGCATCTGAAGCGTCAAGGATTAATGGAATTTTTTTTGATAAAGAAGATCAAATTCTGCAGATGTAATCGTTTGAGAAAAGAACTTAGTCGAGGCCAGCGCACGGCTTACCTCAACATAGCAGAGGGGAAGAGGGGCATTACGAGTTGATCAATGTAACACCCAAAAATTTGTTTTTCTTCAAAAAGAGTTAAATTGATTTAATTATGTATTTTTGTGAACATTTAAACACAGGGAAAGTAAAAAATTTTATTGAAATTAAAATTCATCATAGATCTAGCAACATATTTTTGCATTCATGCTGCTGCATTATTTTTATTGTAGTGAGTGGTCTTTGGCTAAAATTCAAAATATTTCAAAATTGGTTTTGAACTCAGCTTCGAAAAAAAAAGAAGATTTATCTGAAAATCTCTGTCCTTCTCTTTCTGACCCAACGGCTCAGGCCTCACTCACTCTCCACTCTCACCCGCAGCCCGCTCCTTTTCCCTTGGCCTCTACCCAGCGTAGCTGCGTAGGCCAATCTCACCAGGACGGCCCAACAGGAAGCCGGAGCCCGCCCAGCCTCCCCGCAGCTCCAGCAGCTGGCCCATCTTGGCTTGGACAGCCCGCACGCGTCCTCCCCGCTCGCTCTCTCAGCTATCCCGGGCCCGCTGCACAGTATCGTCCCTTTCCTCTCGCCTCCGAACCGGACTCCCATTGTTTGATGGAAAACACCGCCGCCATCCCAGTTTTCGCGGAATTTGGGCGTAATCCGCACACCGAGCCACCTTATAAAGGCCGAAGTTCTTTCCGCGCCCCGTTTTGGATCTCCACCGCTCCGCTGGCCCTAGCTTCGTTCCAGCGCCGCTTTTGGATCTTGCCATCGAGCAGAGCCTGCCCGCCGCCGCGGTAACCATCGTTGGAAGCCCCTCCGTTGACTCGAGCAGGTTGCCGCGAATCTCTCCGTGGTAGAAAATCTCCAAGCACCATCCTACCTCTCTTTCTTCCACTCTGTCGCTCATACACCTCCGTCGATTGTTCACAGGTAGACCAGAGCTTCCCGTCGAGCTACACGCCACCACCGAAACCTCCTCGGGCGACGCGAATACCCTAGGTGAGTTCGCCTTCCCCTGTTCTATCTTCCGGTGTTTTCCCCGTTGAGTATGGAGCTTCGAAACTCGATTCCGGTGAAGTTCCAGCGAACTGCTCGCCGCCGGCCATGCTGCCGCCATGCGGGGTCACCCTCATACCCCTTCAGTCCACCGTGAATCGTGGACGGAGTCCACCATCACCGGTCCACAACCACGTCAGCAAGTCCACCACCTTGGACCAACCCGCGGCCGCCACCTATCGCCGCGTGACACACCACGTGGATGATGACTTGGTCAACGAACAACCGTCGCTTTTGCGTATAGCCCCCTGCAGATCCACGTTATAGAACCCGCGGTCCTTCCAAGTTCAAACATAATTCAAACTAAGTCCTTTTTCTTTTGGAAAACCCCCTAAACTTCCAAGTATTAGAACCCGCCGCCCAACAGAGGTAGTTTTATAGGTTAGACCTCGTGTTTATAATCAAAATTATGTTTAGGTCCATTTTAAAAACTACAAAACTGCCACTGAATCTTGTTTTAAGCGTAGAATCTCCATTTTAACTCCGATTTGAGTGATTCTCGCGTCTTCGTGGTCGTAGCATCGCGTAGAATAGTTTTAAATCATTTTAACTTCTTTTTATACTGTTTTGTGTATTGTTCTAATTAGTTTATATATGTTTTCTATGCATGTATGTATGGATGCCTGTGTGGTGCTGCTTGATCTCGATTAGAGAGTGAGTTTTACGTGGGTGATTTGAAACAACTCTTTGAAGATCAAGACCAGTAGTGATACATTGAATTAAGGCAAGTATAATATGAGGCTCCTTGTTACCTATTCACTTTAATGCAATCTCAACTCATGCATATGTTTAATGAACCACCTGGAGTCTATTTACCATGATGTTGATTATCCTATCCTTGATTTACCTAAGGGTTTTGCATGTGGGTAGTATGCTCAGTTTGCTCCAACTAATATTGATTAAAGAATACAATTAAAGATAAATACGACATGGTATTAAAAGATGTTTTTTAGCAACATGGAACCAAGGGGGCTAAAGCATTGGGCCTTTTCTTATGGTGCTCTAGTTTCTCTCCATAAGGACTCATCTTTAAGCGGCAACCCAGGAATTACAGTACAACGATGAGGACCACATAGCTCTGATCTTAGTCCAGTACCTTGCTCTTTATAGTTTGTAGCAGTTTACCTAAAGGGTAAGAGGGGCATACCAGGCTGGGTATGGGCCTCATCCCCACGGTGTGCACTATGCTGCGAGTATTAGTGCCATTTTTGGAGATGACTCCATAACACTTGGGAGATGGAATCCTTAGCGGCTGCTCCTTATTAGAACGACTGGAGAAAAGCTTCGTAGTGTACCCTGCCTGTTCAACTTGGAAGTGTTTTGGGAGTAATTAACCCGGGCAAATGGGCAACACGACTCATGGTGAAAGTGTACAACCTCTGCAGAGTGTTAAACTGGTATATCAGTCGTGCTCAAGGACACGAGCACCCTGGATCCTTACTGAATAGTTGGTTACTTGGATGGTTTGGGTTATGATTAAAATTACTGATATCTCTAATTATTCATATTTAGGAACCTAAGCATAACTTAGCAACTTATGGTTAATAATAAAATATTACCAACTAAAAGTTCTTACCGCAGTTTAGACGTGTCAAACCTTTGGAGCCTGCATCCCCTCATGTTATGCTTGCTAAGCGGTAGTAGCTTACGCTTGTTTTATTTCAATACTTTGGTAAAATCCCGGATGGATACCAAATTGAGGTTCTTCAGTGGAGTTTTCTAAGAGGTGTTAGGCTTGTGATCAACCAGTTGACGATTCCTGTGGTGTTGGGGGCCTCGCCAGAAGAATAGAGTTATAGTATATACTGTAAAGTAAGACTATCTTTTGTAACAAATATTTGTGCGCTATGTATTAAAGGCATTGTCTTTGATATTACCCCTTTATTTGTTACTATACGTGTGAATTGAATTCCTAGGCACACATATGGTGTGTATCTGGTTTTATTCTTAAAACCAGGTGCTACAATCAACAAGTGGGTACGATCCATCTCAACCCTCCACTCATGGCGAAGGCCTTACGATGGTGGTGGGATGGGAGGAGTTCTGTAGTAGCACAGAACTACAACCTTTTAGTTGCTCAAGCACAGTGAACTAAAAGCCATGGAGTGCACACCACACCTCCCACCAACTGAGCCAGGCTCCATTCCTATGACTGATTAAAAAAACAAGTAGACACAAATGAACATGTCATCTGCACCAGGTACAACCCATTGTTTCCTTGAAACAAATTTTGCCAACCTCACTAAAATAAAGTTAAAATATAAATTAGCATCATCCTGATCGCTAAATGTTCTCTTTCCATGTAAATCACTTGCAACGGCTCTCTTCTTCCTCTGCTCTTTCAAACCAATGCCAGAACTTTCTGTGTTCATTCTCTCTCTCCTCCATTGGTGTCCTCAAGCTCCCAAGCTTTCCCTTATGATTTCCCCATCAATCCTTGAGGGAAAAAGGTCCCAAACTCGATTAGAGAGCAGATGCACTTGTTCCCAAACTCTAAGAGCACTTGGTTTACATTTTAGCCGGTGGTTGTGTTTGTTAATCTTAGAGCTTAGCTCCTAACCAGCTAGAGCGTCGTCCGTGGAGCTTGCCAACTTGTGTGGCAGTTTTGAGAGGTTTGTCATCACCTCTTGCAGCTAGTAAACTCACCCCACATCTCAAGAATTAAGTCTCTTGACTTGAGAACGAGGAAGGGTTACAAAGCCCTAAGTCTTAGTGGCTAGCCTGAACAACATGGACTTAGGCAAGCCTTGGTGGCGAGCTGAACCACGGGATAAATACTTGTGTCACCTTGAGCTTGATTTACTTCATGTGCATTTCATATTGTTGTTAAGGTGAATTCTAGGGTTTGGTGTCGATCTACTTGTATGTGCTTCTCCTACAACTTGTTGTTGTCTATCTGTGACCTATTACACTGCAGGAAGCTCAGTAGTTTCTCGGATCTAAGTTTTCATTCATTGAACTATGACTCGAAGTTGTCTACAGGTGCGGCAATGCCGTTGTTCTGGCCCTTTAGTGCTGCAGCCCGGTTGTGTAGTGGGTTAGGAGCGGCAGTGCCACGGGTTGAATTTGACATTTGCTCGAGTTTTGTTTAAATAGGCCTATTCAACCCCCCTCTAGGTTTACCAGAGATCCTATAGCCTTAATAGAGCTTTTCGCTAAGTGAGTGTTCGTGATTCTATTGGTATAAAGTCTTTGGTTAGTTAAGTTTTGCTCTTACTTGTTTGCGGGTTCGTCGTTTGTCCCCGTGGCGGATACTCTGGTAGAGAGCTCTGATAAAGACGGATAACCCTGCGCACGCTAGAGTAGTAATCAATAGTATAGACCTGGTGTCTAGACTAGAGGCTACCTTCGTTTGCCTCGTACTCCATGGTTGAGGGTTAGGCGACAGGTGGTGACATCCCTGTCCGTCCCTCGTAATCCCCCATGTCCGGGTACGGCGTAGAGCTGAAGGTCGGGCTCACTTGACAGACCAGGTGCAAACCGGTGCCCGAAGTAAGCAAGTGAAAGTAGAGTTTATCTTCTCATAGACCCAAAAGCCATATGAATCCATCTCTACCCTTTCCAACTTTACCCTTGTGTTGTCCTTGGACGAACTAGCTAGAATAAGTACCTCCGTTCCCTATGAAAATACGATACCTTGAATACTTTCAGGTGAAAGCTACAACGGTAATTCTGTACGCTTGTGGATTAATTTTGTACCCATGTTACTTGGCCATATCATTGGGAACATGGCTGCTACCTAGTACCTGCTAGTGCTAAGGTCCATTCCGCGTCACTTTTCAGGCATGGGTGCCCTGCCAACCATCCAGTGCAACTAGTTGCTTGTCAAAAAAAAAAGAGTGCAACTTGTGTTTTGACACCCACTTTCCAGTCCACTTGGCCATCCGTGACAAGCTTTGTAAAGGACGACTGTAATGGCGAGCTAATCTTGTTGTAGCTGTTCAAAAATAATTAGACATTTCGTTTGTCAAGCGTCAAATGATTTTAATTTTAACTAATTTTTATAGAAAATAGTATTCTCTCCATCCCAAATTAAATAAAGTTCTAGTTGTCCTAAGTCAATCTATTTAAGTTTAACCAAATTTATGGAAAGAACACTAATATTTATGACACCAAATTAGTATCACTAGAAACATCGTAAACTATATTTTCAAAATGTACTTATTTGATGTTATAGAGGATGTTTCTCTTCCTATAAAATTGGTTAAACTTAAGATAGTTTAAATTTAAGTGATTTTATGAATTGATTTATTCGGAGATAAAGGTAGTATTAACTTATGTATTTTCCAAATAAGTTTATTATAGAATTTATGTTCATCCTTATTATGCATCGTAGATATTAATATTCTTTTTGTTATACACTCGGTGGAACTAAAAGTATTTTTATTCTTCAAAATGCATGATATGCAACTAGTTTGGGACCGAAGTGAAAGGATTTCA